TCGTCCATCGACAACCGTAGAATATGCTCAGCGCCGTAAAATGCATCTTCGATATCATAAAGCGGGCGAGAGGTAACGAGAATCTGAAAGCTAGATGGAAGTTCTGTGATTTGGGGAAGTGAAGCAAGTATTCGCCAAGAAGAATCGCGCACCATATCCTCCTGGTCCTCGGGGCCTGCCTCTGGTTGGGAACCTTCGAGACATGCCTCATGTCAAGCCCTGGCTCACATTCACTGTATGGGGCAAGAAGTATGGTAAAACCTTCCCGTTTTTTCAAAATCATGCATTTCAACGTCGCGCTGTGCCTGCGCAATTATGATCTTCATGAAATTAGAACTTCTGAGGAGGAAACTGGACTCCAGGAGAAACCAAACATACCTTGGATGCAGCAGATAGCACGCCCAGCGCCATCTTTGCGTACGGATGTACCTATACAACTTGATGAGTTCCCTTTCAAACGACCGGAATGGCCCATACGTCTGTAATCTTCTCAAGGACAGCATCAATAATCTTGAGGGGTTGGAGATACATCGTCTCAAAATCATCTGCGGCAGTAAGATCCGCTGGGGCATTGTCGACGGCGGATGCCATAGCAGTCGCATGTTTCCCGAATGATCGCATGCTTTGTGCACCATCACATGCACCCTGAAGTTCGGCGTCAACTAATTTGGGATCAGGTCTCACTTCCTCGCCGGAAGAAGCAGCCTGAACCTGTGGTACCGCCAAAATTAGAGAAGAAAATCAGAGTATTTGATGGAAATACCTGTGGAGCAGGCTCTCCGGACAGCCCTTTATTCACGGAGTCACTGGGAATCTCAGATGTGGTTGGATGCTTGTTGTCGTTGGAAGGATCGAGATGCAACGTGTCCTGAGGGCCACTAAGAAAACCAAAGGACTGGAATAGCGAGTCCGAGCACTTACCTCTACTTGCTGACTCGATGAAGCCCCTTCATTTCTGACGTCGTGGACCGCAGTGGGGGGTTTGCATGTTCGCTTGGAGCGTTTCTGTACAATCTTAGCCGTATGCAGAACAACAGTATTCACGTCTACGCACAGGAAGCTTTTTGGTTAACCCATTCTTCAATTTCTGCAGGAACTGAGCAGATCCTCTACGAGGTTGGTCCTGGACGAATAATGCGTAAGGACGACGATGAATTCAAGAGACCACGTACCGAGCTTTCAGTAACATTTACCTGATTGGATCTAAGAGTTCCTGAAGAAGGATCGATATCTGGCCTATGATATTCAGTCATGACGAGTGGTTGTAGATTTAGATGGTTATGAAAGAAACGGCGGGGTACACTGAGAAGTGGTGTGAGAAGGGAATGGGCGTCCCACTCTTTGGCGGAACTCCAAACAACGTTCGAAGCATGATGGCCAGCACGCTGACTTCAAGGGCTATGCATTCAGCCACACAATTTCCATCGGTTCCGGCGGAGCGAGCCCATAGCTGTAGCAGACACAGCTCAGGGACAGACGAAGTCAACTACAGTCGACTCCCTCCTAACGCATACCAGGTATAACCCATACTCCCTCATAGGACATACATTTTTGGATTTCCAAAGTTAGGTTTCAGGGCTTTTGCTCTCTTGAATACCCCATACTCCCTAATAGGCCATACATCTGGGGCTATCCCAAGAGGTATGCGTTAGGAGGGAGTCGACTGTATATATATTAGGTATACCTGTAGAAGACCCAGCTACCGAGGTTGTCAGTTACATAATAGGTGGTATATACGAGAATGATACTAACCTCAGCGACAGAGGACCTACGGCAAATAGGAATGGTGGTGAATTCATCCAACTTGATCTGAAAGTCGAATGTAGAACATATAGGAATATTTGGCGCGTCAGTGGCCGCGTCTGACTGCCGCGTCACATGCGCGTCATGCGGCGTCACAGCTATGTCACAACCACGGCAGGCGCGCGTCGAAACTTGAATATGTACTAGCTATGTTTTAACAGGATTAAGTATAGCAGTCGTATGCACCACACACACCACCTACTAAGTTACGTCGAACCACCTTCACAGACATGTCTGTTACTTCCGGATGTCCATGAATGTCAGCGCGTCAGCTCTCACTAGCACTCGCCATTGCAAGATCGTGTTCGCCATGGACTACGCAAATTCTATGTTGACGTTGCAGCATCAGTTGTCCGACTCGGCGGACATAGAATCGCGGTGGTCAGGTGTGTGTATATATACCCAAGTACTAGTACTTACTGTCATTGTCAGTTCTCCCAGCCCAGCATGGCAGCTGACTCCGAACTTCGAATGATTCATGCAGAAGGGGCTTCTCTGCAAGAGGACAAAGAGGACCCAGAGATATTGGAAGCATGTCGAGTCTCCAAGCATTGGGACCCTCCCTCAAGCCCGCACGAGTTTTCCGAAGGTGGTTCGGCAGGTTGGGCCACCGCTTTTGGAGCGTAAGAAGGCAAAATATTTGAGCTGGCTCCTACTCAGTCCACACAGGTTTCTGGTACAGTTTTGCGGATTCGGGTGAGTCTGTTGCAGGTGTTGGCAGGAAATGGCTCTGTGACTGACTTGATTTAATGGTTATATCACTTCGTTTGGTGTCTATCAAGGTATTGCTGCAAACGAAAGCGAGCATGGACCATTTGACATATTGCCCTCCAGACTTTTATACCCAGCATTACCTGACAAATGAGACTTCGTCTGCTATATCGTGAGTTTCTATTTACGTTTTCATGGCAGATATCCTCAAGACTTGTAGATGGATCGGGAGCGCTAGCGCTTCTTTACTCATGCTCGTGGGCCTCGTGTCAGGTTCACTGCACGACCGAGGGTATTTGTGAGTGTAGATCTATTGGAAGTTCTCGACGATACTCAGCAAGCTGCGCGAGTTACCATCTCATAATTGCCGGATCGTTTCTGGAGTGTTTATCTCTGTTCATGTTATCTTTGTCGAAACCGGATCAGTACTACCAGGTAATGTTCCCCAATTTTTAAATCTCGGTTTCTGACTCAGTCAGATATTTCTCTCTCAAGGATTAGGGTTGGGTATCGCGACGGGGCTCTTGTATATTCCTAGCGTGGCTGTTAGCTCGCATCACTTCCGACAGGGGCGCACACTGGTCATGACGTTCGTCGTTACAGGCTCATCGCTAGGTGCTATCATCCATCCGATCGTGCTCAATAACCTCCTCAACGGCCCTCTTGGTTTTTCCAACGGCGTCCGTATAAGCGCAGGGTTGATCAGCTTATTTCTCTTAACTGCGTGTTTGTGCATGCGAACTCGCCTTGATCCGCCGGCGATACCGGTGAACTATATCGTGGCGGCTAGAAAATGTATCCACGATGTACCGTTCATGCTCCTGATAATAGGGTGAGACCTGCAACGTACATTCTTGACTTTCTTCAAATAACCATCCTGCAGAGGCTTTCTTTTGCAGATCGGGTTCTACTACCCGTTATTCTTCTTTCAACTAGACTCTATCCAGCACGGTATCAGTGTTCATTTTTCGTTTTACTCTATGAGTTCCAGCGATACACGAGTCATCCGCGGCGTCTGCTGACAGAGTCTCTAGTTAGTGATATTAAATGGATCCAATTGCTTAGGGCGATTCACGTCAGGGTTTATTGCGAGGTTCACGGGGGTTGTGAATTTAGCCACAGTGGCGGCAATTTTGTGCAGTGTGCTCATTTTTGGCATGATTGGGCTGAGTAGCTTGGCAAGCGTCGTTGTGCTTGGCGTGATTTATGGCTATCTTTCAGGGATGAGTAAGTAAAATTTTCAGCTATCATTAACATGGGTTCATCGCTGCATGTAGACGTTGCGATGTCGACTCCACTCATGGCTACTTTAACGCCCGACGTCTCTGAGCTTGGGCAAGTGATCATTTATGTTTGAACGTACGAGCCATCTGACCTGGATCATAGTGCACGGATGGGCATCTGTTTCTTCACTGCTGGTGAATATTATCATTACTATTGCTTCCATGTTATTCAAACTTGTCGCGATCACTGATAGGAATCGGAGGTTTGATTGGTGGGTGCAATGGTGTCGGTTCTAGCTTCAAATGATAATTCTTTGTCCAGGAACACCCATATCTGGCGCTCTGCCAACATCTAATTATACCTGGTGGATACCCGGTCTGTTCTCCGGGGTGAGTCGACCGTTATTATCATTTTATCCAGAGTTCGCGCTGAGTGCAATTAAATCGACTACATAACAGATCGTTTCACTGGCTGGTGCCATGACATTTATCATAGTGCGATATATGTTTCTCAGAAGGCGCGCGTCCTAGGTAGGTCTTCATCCGGCTTCCGGAGATGAAGACTTATCTCTCTTCTCGCACTTGGCCAACAACACTGGGACTGGCAGCAGGTCGTTTCGTCGCAGGATATTTCTCTCGGGACGATAAAGAGGCGTGTTGTGCAATTTCTTCCGATCGGATTCCGATACGCGAGAAGAGGGAGCCTGAAGTGACTTGCCGGATATGGTTTTTGGCTGTGATGGATGGTCTCTTCGATCTGGTATGAAGTTTCACACTCGCATCAACTTTCTTCAGTTGTAGATCCCGGATTGGTATGAAATATTCTAGAAGCTTTTCTTGCTTATTGACACTAGATATGCGCTGGAACACCACCATCACAATGGTATAACATAGCATGACCAAAATGACATCGCATTTTCCAGTACTCGGATCCCTAAAGGAATGATGCGCAATCCCCTCAGCAAGTCTGATCCCTAGAGACGTTTACGATTCAGTACGTCACGTAGATCTTTTTAAGTGAAATGTTGGCATTCTATGGCACATAAAATTACAATACTGATGCATCATGCATGTACGTCGTTTACTATCAAAGGTCGTGTCCTACATTTCGCGTGCTTTCCTCCCACATTACTCTTCCCTAACCTTCGTGCATTGAAATCCGCGTGTCCGATCCGCCGGAGTTTAGTTCAGCCTTCTTTCACGCTTTAACAGTTCTTTCCCTGAATCAGAAGGGTTGGTGCTCTTCCCACAGAAGCCGATGGCATGCATCAACTGTCGATATCGCCGGGTCAATGTACTGCAGCTTTTACAGTACCTCCGAGCCTCGGAAACCCCGATGCTTTGCGTGCTGCACCGGCACTCGCAATCGACGGTAACCATTTGAAGTTGGTCGCTGAGAGCGTGCAAGATGCATGGACTTCCCACACAGATCCCAATGTCCATAGATATCGCATGCATGGCTATGACCGCCCGTATGAGTTTAGCTTAGGAGTGAACTGGCTGAAAAGATGTAAACGTTTACTTACTCACATGTCTGGATGGAAAGTCACTACAGCGAGTAAATCCCGTGCAGGACAGAAAGCGAACTTGAAGTCCGCCGAGAGTCCATCGCTGACTGAGCGAGTCTGGGCGTATAAATCAACAGAACTAGACACAAATGCCATTCAAGTTCGTGCAAAATAGATGTAGTCCGAGTCCCTCCTAGCCGAACTAAACATCCCACTGGACCACAATGCCGTCGAAATTCGAAATATTGTTGAAGGCAGCGTGTGCTTGCTGGGATTCAACATGTCGCCAGGCAGCGTTGCGCTGTCCAAGTCATTTGTGATGTGTTGGTACGGTCGTTTGGGAGAATGGGAAATTACTGAGGTCGATGATGCATTGCGACCCAAGTATCTCCGAAGGTGTCGACCATTACTTTCTGAATGAGCGCTCGTATGTCTGGTGTGAGGCACTTAGCAAAATGAGATGAATACGACGAGTCAAAAATACAAACAGAAGCAAAACACCGGACTTCGAAGTCTTAGCTGAATGTTGGACGTTGAGTCCTACTAGTACATTTCTCAACTTCACACCACCATGCCCAGTACACCAACACATAGTTCCCTTGACCTGATACTGATAATTAGTACTCCAGCTTGAAAGCAATTACAAATTTTGGATGTTCGCATCCGCAACACGGCCAATGGCACTGTAATTCCTCCCAGTGGCCCTCAGCCGCATGGGAGTACCGGCAGCCTGCTTCCGACTCGTTTCGATAATCATTGAAGTGAGAGGATCCTTGTTAAAACGATAGTCAGTATTCGAAGATCCTCGGACTTCCGCTCGTATGTAATACTAAATGCTAGTGTCTATATGGCTTGTCTGATCTGAATCTGTAAATACTGCAGAAAACCAACAAGAGGATTGAAGCGATCATATGCACAACATAACATACCACTAAGCCACGCCCGTCGCCCGCGGTATGGCTCCAACTCCAACTCCAACTCCAAAATACCAATACCTCGAACCACCTTCACGGACACATGTGTCTGTTCCTTCCAGATGTTAGCTCCCACTCATCACCGCAGGATCAGGGTTGCTTTCGCACATGGGCTATGCTTCACCTTGGCCGCCCTTGGAATCAGCTAACTGTTCTTCTTTTTTTCCAGAGTTGACCATCGGTTTGGTCCGAAAGAATGTCCGTTTGCAAATTCGTCCATATTGCCACATCAGTCGGCCGACTTGACGGACATAGAATCACGATCAGGTGTGTGCATATAAATACCCAAGTTTTGTACTTACTGTGATTGTCAGTTCTCCCAGCCCAGGATGGCAGCCGAATCTGAACATCGAACGGTTCATACTACAGAAGGGGTTGTCCCTCAAGAGAACAAGGAGTGCTCAGAGACATTGGAAGTATGTCATATTTCCAATAATTGGGACCTTCCCTCAAGCCTGCACGAGTTTTCCGAAGGTGGTTTAGCAGGTTGGGCAACTGCTTTTGGATCGTAAGAAGACTCATACTCTTGGACAGGGACCTGGTTCTAACTTGATCTACCTAGTTTTCTCGTGCAGTTTTGTGCGTTTGGGTGAGTCTCATGCAGGTGTTGGCGGGAAATTGCTCTGTGACTGACTCAACTTAATAGGTATATTACTTCGTTTGGTGTTTATCAAGGTATTGCTGCAGACGAACGTGAGCATGGACCATTCAACATATTGCCCTCCAGACTTTTATACTCAACATTACCTAACAAATGAGACGTCGTCTGCTATATCGTGAGTTTATATTTGCTTTTTCATGGCAGATATCCTCAAGACTTGTAGATGGATCGGGAGCACGACTGCGTTTTTACTCATGACCGTGAGCCTCGTGTCAGGTTCACTGCATGACCGAGGATACTTGTGAGTGTAGATATGTTGGAAGTTCTCGACGATACTCAGCGAGCTTCATTAGTTACCATCTCATAATTGCCGGATCGTTCCTGCACAGTTTATCTCTGTTCATGTTGTCTATGTCGAAACCCAATCACTACTACCAAGTAACGTCACCTGGCTTTATAGTCTTGTTTTTTCTTGACTCAGAAAGATCTTTCTTTCTCAAGGCTTAGGCTTGGGTATTGCGTCGGGGCTTGTGTATATTCCTACCATGGCTGTCATCTCCCATCACTTCCGACGGAGACGCACACTGGTTATGACGTTCGTCGCTACGGGTTCACCGCTGGGTGCTATCATCCATCCGATCATGCTCAATAACCTCCTCAACGGTCCTCTTGGTTTTGCTAATGGCGTCCGTGTAAGCGCAGGGTTTACCAGCTTATTTCTCTTGACTGCATGTCTATCCATGCGAACTCGCCTTGATCCGCCGGCGACACCAGTGAACTATATTGCGGTAGCTAGAAAATGCATTTATGATGTACCGTTCATGCTCCTGATAGCAGGGTGAGACCTGCTGCGTACCTTCTCTCGAATTCCTTCAACTAGCCATCCTGTAGGACCTTTCTTCTCCAAACGGGCTTCTACTATCCGTTATTCTTCTTCCAGCTCGACTCCATCAAGCACGGTATCAGCGTTAAATTTTCGTTTTACTCTGTGGGTTCCACTACGCAGGTCATGCATCTACTTACAAAATCTCTAGTTAGTGATTTTAAATGGGTCCAATTGCTTGGGACGATTCACGTCAGGGTTGATTGCGTCATTCACGGGGGTTCTGAATTTAACCATAGTGGCGTCAACCTCGTGCGGTGTGCTCATTTTGGGCATGATTGGGCTGAGTAACTTGGCCAGCGTCGTTGTGCTTGGCATGCTTTATGGTTATTTTTCAGGGCTGAGTAAGTCAAATTTTTCAGCTATCATCGGTATGGAAGTTGCAGATGAGTTTATCGTTACATGTAGACGTTGCGATGGCGCCTCCACTCGTAGCTACTCTAACGCCCGACCTCTCTGAGCTTGGGTAAGTGATCATTACGTTTGAACGTACAAACCATCTCACATGGATCATAGCGCACGGATGGGCATCTGTCTCTTTGCTGCTGGTGAATATTATCATTACTATTACTTCCATGTTAGTCAAACTTGTCGCGATCACTATAGGATTCGGAGGTTTGATCGGTGAGTCCAATGGTATCGGTTCTTTCTTCGGATTCTGATTCTTTATCCAGGAGCACCTATATCTGGCGCCCTGCTAACATCTAATTATACCTGGTGGATACCCGGTCTGTTCTCCGGGGTGAGTCGACCGTTATTATCATTTGCTCTAGAGTTCACGTTGAGTAAATTAAATCAATTACATGACAGACTGTTTCACTGGCTGCCGCCATAATGTTTATCGTCATGCGATATGTGTTTCTCAAAAGGCAGCGCGTCCTAGGTAAGTCTTGATCCGGTTCATGGCTACCAGATCGAAGACTTAATTCTCTTGTAGTCGGCTAACGACACTGGGTGTAATAGGTCCTTTTCACTAGATACGTTACAGTATGCATTCTTCAAATATATTCTGTGTCGCTGGATTGCCATCGGGATGATAAACAACCAGGTCTTGCAACTTCTTTCAATCGGATTCCGATACGCGAGAAGAAGAGGAACCTGAAGTGATTTGCCGGATGTGGTTTTTTTGCTCTGATCGACAGTCTCTTCAATCTAGTATGAAGTTTCCCCTATGCAGAACTTCAACAATGAGGCAAAAACACGTGCGCCCAGAGTAAACTGCAGCGCAAATTAGATGGGGAATGAACATCCCGATTTCAATGTCAGGTCTATTGAAGATGACAGCTGGCCGTTCCTTTGCAGAGTCTCAAGGTCACCATTGATGGCGAACGCAGACTCTAAGTGCAAGCGCAAAAGCAAAAGTAAAGCAGGTTCTCGATTTAACTTTGTAGCTATACTTGTTGATATGGCAAAAGTTCAAAAAGTGTGTCGTATATCGTTTCGAAGCAAGCCTTGCGCGTCAAAGACAATTGATCAAATCATAAAAACAAAGAACGCTCACGACTCAAAGCACAAACGATCTAAATATATATATCTCACTCCAATTTCACAGCGACAGTCCAATCATCCACCGTGCGCACCGCAGGACCTTTAACGACCGATATTCCCGCCTCCGAGGTAAATTCCCACTCAAGCTCCCTCCTACCATCCAAAACAACACTCGAAAGGCTTCTTATCAAGTGCGGGATAAACACTGACGGCTAGCATTTTGTATTCGCGAATACTAGATAAGCAAGCCACTCTAGCATCGAAAAAAAAACCTAGTTCATATCATGCCAAATACCAAGATTATCAGTGCTCTCCGTCCAACTCCACCGTGATTGATCATCGATAGTCCTCGTCTTGAAGTGTGAGATCCAAAAGTCCCAAGAAGCAGGATGGAAAAAGTGAACCCATGAGCTGGAGCTGGTCGCCATTGCTGCTCTTGGGTTGAACGAGGACTCCAAGTTCGGATGCGCGCTTGGATACTGGGTAGTCGTTTGAGCGTTGTAAGTGGGGGTTCACGATGGTTACCACCTGGGAGGTATATATGAGCGCAAGACAACAAAGAATAAAATAAAGAACGAAATAAAACAAAACAGACCTTCCGCTCAACATCCTCCGTACACTCAATATCCAACCAAACGGCATCCACCAGAAAACCCTCCTCGTCGAACCTATTCTGTACACTACGCACGTCGTCTGGACTGACATAGTTCTAGTGGCACTCGAGCCACTTCTATAGACGCGGGCATATCAGGAACAGGTATGGAATGATAGTCTTCGGGAAAGAAAAACCATGTGGAGTCATCGCTGCTCACGGTGATGTCATCAGAACGCCAATATCAACGGCATCTGAAAACCGACGTTGAAGGTGTGCACTGTGCATGAACCTTGCATGAACCACTAGAGGAGAATTAGGACTTTACTTACGCCACCGTGCAGGACCGGAAGTCCGGAGGTAATCGGATCAATACGAGGGTAATTTCTGTTCGACAAAGCCCTCTTCCATCGCTCGACGCTAACGCAGTGAGAGTCGGGGGATCGTATGTAAGGGTGCCAGCCAACTCGGGTAATCTTTGTGCCCTCAGATGCCCCACAAACTTGTCTCAATAGTTTCCTATGTCTTATGCTGACTCTTGCTCTGGTTCTCTGGTGTCCCAACCGTCTCTGTGACCAGCCTAGTCCCGCTTTCTCAGTGCGTCACAGTAAGCGTTGACCACAGCTTTCGAGTACAATGCTTTATGGCAGCATGTCTATGGCGGGTGTAATGGTGAGCACAATGAGATGGATATGTTGTTCACTTACCTTTCACACCTGCGTTAGGTTGTACGTGTCTAGAAGCCGTACTCCATATGTACCACCACGCACAAACCGTGCATCAACTCGCTCCCGTGGCCTGGCGACAGTCACTCCAGCCCGAAAACAGGTTATTTTCCCATCCACAACCAACGGCACTGTATCTCCTCCACCTTGGCTCAAAACACGTTTCTCCTGGCCAAATGATGCGACTGCGGAGAAGATCTCTGAATCTGCGCTTTGCATGTCTTCGTCGTATCATGATGTATACATGCTTGCTGCCTCCATCAGAGCTGCACAGGAGCACGGCCTCCGAGTCCTATACGATAATTATTGAAGTGCAAGGATTTTCGAACAACGTCACTTTAAATATCTTTGGCACAAATTTTTCTCAGTGTTTCAAATGTGTCAATTGAGAGATTACACCATTGCACTGATTGTGTTGTGCCGAGATCATAGAATGCGTGCTCTATGCCCTATAATCGAGAGCATCGTCAGGGCAAAGACCTTGAGTAGATGATTTTTGGAATTGCTTGGAACAGTGACGCGAGCGGGCGTTCTCCAGCATACCACACCACCTGACGTGAGTTGATTTTTATGTTCTATGGAATTCAAAATCAAATGTGTTATCAGACCCACATGACATCTCCGCGAGTCTTGAATACGTCGGAATTCTGCCAGACTGGTATCTTCAAGCTTCAAGACTCACCTGTTCTTGAGCTCAGCTTTTCACGTACCATACTATGCTTCCGCAGAGATAGTCAACGTATGTAACACGTCACCCTCCTTCGCATAGGGAGTTCAAGCTGCCTACGAAAAACTGACAGCAACGCACATATTTGTATTTCGAAATTTGGGCTTACGCAACAGTTACCAAACGAGCTCAAAGTTTGCGTGAGTTCTGCCATAGACCAAGCACAACTTGAACAGTTTTTCCAGACCGGTTCCGGGTTCTGCCAACAACCTTAGTCTTGCTGTATCCTTGTTTCAAGAGTCGACTAGGCCCGAAGAAATGTCTATTTGCAGATTCTAATCATATAAACCCCGTCAAAGTCGATATCTTGACGTTACCACCGCGTCAGTTGTTCGACTTGACGGTCATATGGTCATGTGCATACAAATACCCAAGATACTGTACTTATTGTTATTGTCAGTTCTCCCAGCCCTAGATGGCAGCCGAATCTGAATCTCGAACAGTTCATACAAAAGAGACAAGCCTCCAAGAGGAAAAAGGGTGCCCAGTGACATCGGACGTATGTCAAGTCACCAAAGATTGGCCCTCAAACCCTCATGAGTTTGTCGAAGGGGGTCTGACAGGTTGGGCCACTGCTTTTGGAGCGTAAGAAGACTCATACTCTTTTGGACGCGAGGCTTGGTTCTAACTTGACCTACTTAGCTTTCTTGTGCAGTTTTGCGGGGTGGGGTGAGTTCGGTGCTGGCAGGGAATAGTTCTGTAACTAACTCGAGTTGACAGGTATGCTGCTTCATTTGGTGTCTATCAAGGTATTGTTGCAGACTAAAGCGAACATGGGACATTTAACGCATTGCCCTCCAGACTTTTATACTCAACACTACCTAACAAATGAGACATCGTCTGCTATATCGTGAGTTTCTACTTGCATTTTCATAGCGGAAACCTTCAAGACTTGTAGATGGATCGGGAGCACGAGCGCTTTTTTACTCCTGACCGTTGGCCTCGTATCAGGTTCGCTACATGACCGAGGATATTTGTGAGTATAGATTTGTTGGGGGTTCTCCATAACACTCAGCAAGCTTCGCTAGTTACCATCTCATGATTACCGGATCACTTCTGCAGAGTTTATCTCTGTTCTTGTTGTCTTTTTCAAAGCCTAATCAATACTACCAGGTAACTTCCTCAATTTCAAAATCTCATTTTTTGACGCAGTTCTAGATATTCTTCTCGCAAGGCTTAGGTTTGGGTATCGCATTTGGGCTCACATACATCCCTAGCATGGCTATTATTTCCCATCACTTCCGACGCAGGCGCACACTGGTTATGACATTTATAGCTATAGGCACATCGCTAGGTGCTATCATCCATCCGATCGTGCTAAATAACCTCCTCAACGGCCCTCTGGGTTTCGCCAATGGCGTCCGTGTAAGCGCAGGGTTGATCAGTTTGTTTCTCTTAACTGCATGTCTATGCATGCGAACTCGCCTTGATCCGCCGGCGACACCAGTGAATTATATCGTGGCGTCTAGAAAATGTATTCACGATCTACCATTTGTACTCATGATGACAGCGTGAGACCTGCTACGCACATTCTCTCTGATTCCTCCAAATAACCATCCCGCAGGGGCTTTATTTTCCAGATCAGCTTCTACTACCCATTATTCTTCTTTCAACTGGACACCATCAAGCACGGTATCAGCGTCAATTTTTCGTTTTACTCTGTGGGTTTTAGCACTACGCAAGTCATTCACCTTCTGACAGAATTTCTAGTTAGTGATCTTAAATGGGTCCAGTTGCTTAGGGCGATTTACATCGGGGTTCATTGCGGCATTCACGGGAGTCCCGGACTTGATGATAATGTCGTCATTCTCATGCGGTGTGCTCATTTTTGGCATGATTGGGTTGAGTAGCTTGGCCAGCGTCGTTGTGCTCGGCGTGGTGTATGGCTATGTTTCTGGGGTGTGTAAGTACTTTTCCCCCACACGATGCCCAAGTTTCAAATAAGTTCATCATTTCACGCAGGCAATGCGATGGGGCCTCCACTTATGGCTCTTTTGACGCCTGACCTCTCTGAGCTTGGGTGAGTGACCATTTGAAATGGGATGTACAAACTAATCCGGATTGTAGTGCACGCATGGGCATTTGTTTATTCGCTCTTGGTGGGTATCATAATTACTTCGATGGTGTTCTAACTTGTTATGCGATCGCCTGTGCAGGAGTCGCAAGTTTGATAGGTGGGTTCAGTGGTGTCGTTTCTTGCTTCATATGCTAACCCGTTATCCAGGAACACCCATATGCGGCGCTCTGCTAACAGCCAGTTATATCTGGTGGATACCGGCTGTGTTCTCTGGGGTGAGTCGCTGCTATTTTCTCCAGAATTCACGTCAGCTCTCGACTACATAACAGATCGTTTCACTTGCTGGTAGCATGGTGTTCACTATCATGCGATACAAGTTTCTAAGAAAGCAGCGCGTGGATGTATTACCATTAGATACTCAGGCTGTTGAAGTTGAGCCATGAGTGAAGCTGTTATTACATCTGTGTTGCCTGCGTTATTGTTGTTCCAATCGTTAAATGATTCGATGAGTATACGGATACTGGCAAGTCGTGGTCCTAAAAACCGTAAGGCTAGTTCGTCCAAGCTTTCGCCTCGAGATTAAACAGTGCCGCTCTGCTGACAATAGGCCGCCATATACCCTCCGTAACAGAACTCATCAACCCATACATTACAAGTTTTAAGTGGGGTCCACGATGGTCACCACCTAGAAGGCATATACGTGAGTGCGAGATTCATAACAAAAAGAAATAACGAAACAACACAAGACAGGCCTTCCGCTCAACAGCCTCCACATCTCTCGTCATCTTCACCAGGAAACCTTCCTTGTCAAACCTATTCTACACACTACATGCGTCGTTTTGGACCTCCTCCATCGCTAACGCAGTGTGTCGGGGATGGTATGTAAGGGCGCCGAGGGCATGTAGGAAATATTTTGGCCGGTCTGTGTTAAGTCTGCGCAGACTCCGCCCCAAAGTCTGAGGGACATGTCTGGGTGTGTTTTGTCGGGCGTAGCTATTTTGACGCGATCCTGCCGCGCCTGCCGCGGCCGTGACGCGGCACTGACGAGCCTTGACGCGCCATTATATTCGACTTCCAGATCAAGTTGGACGAATTCACGACCATTCCTTTGTGATTTTATTTGCCATAGGGCCATGTACAACTAGGTATACATAAGCCAATGACTATTTTCTTTTCCTCCCTCTCTGGACCCTTCGAGCCTGTGGAGCACATCGACGTTTAACGGGCGGACATTCTTCGGCCGGCAGAGAAGGAACTACAGCTTCGGATAGCTCGTCTGCAGACTCCAAAGATGTAGCATCAGAGTTATCACTGAATAAAGGGCCGCGCTGTCAATCACATAAGTTAGAGATCTATCGAACGAAGCAGGTAATGTCTTCCTCACTTCAAGTTCACTCTCACTATAATCTCTTGCAGAAACCTATTCATCAGGAATTCCGAGATACACATTTTATCGCCTGTGATGTTGGCCAGCATCCAAACCCCACTGCTGATTGCCTGCAGGTCCTGCTTCTTCGGAATCCTCGAACATCCTTGCTTCTAGTGCGGTCAGACACTCGAGGTCGACGTCAGCCACGAAGCTATTGGTAGGATAGCTTATCATGAGATCAGCCCAAGCCATCTGCGCGATAATAAGGGTTTCTTCTCTAGGCCAGAGGAGACAAAACGAAAGAATGCTCAGTAAAATAAATCTATCACTGCCTATAGACAATTACAGTGTACGACGTCTAATTCTGTCAGGATGAAAAGGAACACTATTAGAATATCAATCATTATGACAGATTGAAAATAAAATATACCTAAGTTATACGGACAGCGTGACAGTTGAGGTGGTGAGGTTTGACGCGGCATGTGGAGGTGGTGAGGCCTAGGGAGGTCTGACGCGGCATGAATGAAGTTTGACGCGGCAGTGACGAGGTTTGACGCGGCGTGACGCGCATGTGACGCGGCAACTGACGCGGCATGTGCTATGGTTGACGCGGCACTGTAGTAGGCCTTGAAAGCTTGACGCGGCATAGAGTGTGGATGTTGGTATTAGTACAGAGACTGCGAGGATATTTGGGAGAACTTGTCGTGGTGTGAGTGATGCTTGACCCAGCCTAAACGAGGCTTCTGACATGCCATGGTTGGGGCTTGACGTGGTGGTGCAGGGTATAGAGAGTGGATCGAGCTTGGCAGGGTGAGGTCGAGGCTTGACGCAGTGAGACAACACTTGACCCTGCGTCTGAAAACCAACATAGATGAACGAATTGAAGGTAATGCAACAATATAGGACTGACGCGCAATATGCATACTAGTAGTATGAACGCAGAGAACAAGCACTGTAAATTTGGTGAGAGGTAAATATAGCACTATAGAGCCTGTACGCAGGCAGACACTCATATGTTGATCATCAACAATGATTCAAAGTTACCTTGCGAAGCAAGGTCAGGTTCACATGGATCATTTTATGTGATTTCCAAATAATAGTAAATA